TCACTGACTTTAGTGGTTGGGGCATAAATGTGTTAATAATAGTGGTATTAACTGGACTTCTTTGTAGGCATATGGATATTATCCTATCACAGACAGCCTTGTATTTCAAGCCAGAGCTTGAAATACTCTTTTTGACAATGAATGTTGACACCCTTCCTCTTCAATTAGTCATTCCCGGCATGGTAAACCATATGATTGTCTGATTCAAAATGGCCAATTCTGTCCATATCAGCTCACTAATACCTAGAATATCAATTTTCATGCTGTTTCATTTTTGGTGACATAATTTTTTGAGAATCATATTTTGTACATCCCAGTGTTCTGATATTAATGGATGCTTATAGCTGGTTTTTCTCATTTTGTCCCATCAGCAAATGAAAGTCATGAAAGCTTTGCTCCATCCCTGTCATTAAAGTCAACTCTACTTTGATGAGGAGCGCTGTGGCTCTGTATGATAAACACTACACTGCTAACCACAAGCTGGTGAAGCCCATTAGTTGTTCTGCAGAAGTAAGATGTGGTTTTCTACTCCTGCAATGAGTTGGAAGCCTTGGAAAATCCTGCACAGAGTTGCTATCACTCACAAACAACTTGATGGCACTTTGAGAAAGCAGTTCTTTCCCACTTGTATTTTCAGTGTCTTGCAACCTGAGGAACTCATCTTCCCACACTACATCAGAGACTGTTCCTTTGCTAGTCACAAGATTTTCAATGGCTAACCAATTCAGAAGTGGTGTGCCTCTCCTTCTTCCTAGTCTATCGTCGTCTGGAAGTTCTGCTGAAACCTGTCTACCGTGGGTGACCCTGCTGGTATTCAAAATACCGGTGACATAGCTTCCAGCATCACAGCAACACATAAGTCATCACAATATGAGAAACTGTAAGATGAATGGTGAAACAATCTCCTTTGGAGACCCTTATTTGGGGTGTCATGACCATGAGCTTGAGTGCTCACACCTGACCACAGATCTGCCCCCTACTTACTTCATATGAAGATGAATTGTCGTCTGATTAATGTTGCTAAGGGTCTGAGCAGATGGTGGCTCTGTTGATAACCTCTTTCCATTTGCTCCTGCAGTCTCTTGTAAAGCTTTCTATAAGTTCATGAGTAACTGACCTAACTAGCCTCCTAACTGATCCTTATCTCTGCAAAGTTAATGTGGACAGGCAGTTATTTTTAACCAAAGTTGAAAAGCAAGTGATCGTGATCATACAGCATATGGAATGTGATGCAAATCATGGGCATTAACATACTTTATTTATCCATCAGCATATGTGTCAATGTCCAGAAAAAGGCCTTGAATGAGGCATAGCACAAAGACAACAGTGCTTACCTTTAGGGAGGATATGGGACCAGAATGGGTCGTCATGGTGTGTTTTCACCTTGTTTGACTGTTCCAACTTTTTACAATGAAAAACTTATTCTATGTATTTTTTGAGTTTTCAAATTCATGTAAAGGGAAAATAGCTCATGGAAGCCAAACTGTCAGATAGCAATTGTGCTTTTAATAGATATGAATAAAAATAGAGTAAAACTTAATTTTCTAAAATGGCAGTGCATAACTATAGAGACACTGTGAAATCATGGAGCCCTGGTGGTGCAGTGAGTTAAGCATTGTGCTGCTAACCACAATGTCTACAGTTCAAACCTACCATCCCCTCTACAGGAGATGATGAGACGGTCTGTTCCCATACAGATTTACAGTCGCGGAAATCCTATGGAGCAGTTCTACTCGCTGTTGTAGCATCGCTGTGAGTTGGAATTGACTTAACAGCACTGGACTATGGGAGATCTACAAATGGACAACAACATAGTCCCTTTTTCCCCTGGACCTGAACTTTATCTTCTAGCCGAGTCAACTTTCAGGATTTTGTCAGTGTTAGAAAGATAAGACTTTTTGCTCCCGCAAAGACTTACACACCTTGAAAATCCTACTGCATAGCATCGCTATGAGTCAGAACCGACTCGACTGCACTTAACGAAAGCAAAGTACTTCTTACCTTTCACTTGGAAGGTTCAGGCAGTTCCAATTCTTTACTGTTACCACAGCACCCAAAGCAGAAATTCCCAGGGGAGAGAAGGGCCCCAAACCAAAAGAATACATGCCCACTCATACCTGCCAGCAATTATTGCTTAATGAGTCTTGGCTGTGGGTGGGGTATGTTAGATTGCTCAGCTGTGCTGGGCAGAAAACAGACAAGCTATTCACTTCCTAGTCTGAATTTTAATAGTAAAACATTGCTTCTTGTCCCCCCAAAAGTAATTTAATGATACAATTTAAACAGTTCTCCCTGACACACATCAAAAACTATCCTTGATGATACAACATTATGGCCCAAAACCAAAATACCATTTTTGCAATTGGTTCTTTGCCATTCAGACTGGACAGCTTGGAGTTTGAACATTAGCTCCAGCTCTCCTACGTTCTAGATGTGTGAGCTTGTGCAAATGACTGAACTTCTCTGGCTGACTCTCAGGCTCCCCATCTGTAAAATAGGACCGTAATGTAGAATTGTAGTTCTTTGTAGAGTTGTTGTAGATAGTCATCAAGCTAGTGCACTCTAGCCCTTAGAACAGTGCCTAGAATCTGGGAAGACACTTGAGAGACCCTGTTATTGGTTGCCATCAACTTGGCCCTGAGCTTCTGTATAATAGAACAAAACTGTCACCCATTCCATAGTCTTGATTGCTGCTGTTTCATCCCACCGTTTCAGCTGTTAAGCAAGCTGAAATTATTTGAATTGAATAAGCTTCCAGCTTTAAGAAGTCAAATGACATTCTAAGACACCCTAATTTGATGACATGGAATCCTTGGGTGACACAGGTGGTTAAGCACTCTACTGCTAACCATGAAGGGGCCCTAGTAGTATGTTGTTGTTATTGTTGTGAAGTGCCGTTGAGTCAGTTCCGACCCATAGCGACCCTGTATAGGGTTTCCAAGGAGTAGCAGGTGAGCTTGAACTGCTGATCTTGCAGTTCAAACTGTGTAGTCCAACACATTAACCCATAACACCACACCAGTATTTAGAGGCCTGCTAACCATAGGTCAGCAGTTTGAGTCCACCAGCTGCATTGTGAGAAAAAGATGAGGCTTTCTGCTCCTGTAAACTTTTACAGCCTCAGAAACCGGATACAGTGTCCCTATGAGTCGGAACTGACTAGACGGTACACCACCACCATCACTAACCAAAAGGTTTGTGATTTGAATCTACGCAGAGGTGTCTTAGAAGAAAAGCCTGGGGTTCTATTTACAAAGGGTTACAGCCTTGACAACCCTGTGGAGCAGTTCCACCCTGCAACGCCTGTCACCATGAGTCAGAACTGATTTGACAGCAAGTGGTTCGGTTCCAGTTTTAATTTGATGACCATGCTGCAGTTTGTACATGGCACTGTGCTCTGTGTGTGATGTTTAAGCAGTATCCTCGCCTTACAGGGAGGCTTCCTTATATGCCCAAACAGCACAGGGTATTGGCAGCTTTGCTGTCAGTGATGACTTGGCAACTGGCCGTGCATTCTAAGAGCAAAATTTCTTCCATGAGAGAAAATTCAAGTGGGCTCTGTCAGCCAGGCTTCCGCCTGTGGACATTCAAACCTGGGAAAGGGCTACTTTATAAGGAATCTGATTTGTTCTAGTTGGAATTTGATCTTTGAGAATATTACCAAATTTAATAAGCACACAGTTGAGAGCCACATCTCTATCAGCATTTATCATTTATGTAATAATAATAGAGATATAATCCAAAAATGCAACCGTGGTCCTCCCTGGTATTAGAGAATTCAAACACTCCCCCTCCACATACACAAAAAAAAGAGACTCTAATGAAAAGCTCTGTGTCTAGTGCACAGCATGAACTCCAGCTTAAGAAAATGGATTTTTATGTTAACAGCTTGCAGTGCAGTAAATGACTTGATATGGTACTTCTAGCCATAGTTTCATAACTCCCACCAAATGACAGGGTAGGACTATACAAATGTGAGGTGCTTGTGGCCCACCAAGGGGACTGGATAGCTTGCTAATATTATAAGTCGGGCATGACACCCTTGTGGGAGTGAGACTATGCAGATGAGGTGTATAAAACAAGAGTAGGATTAGTCAACTTTGCCATCCCAAAGAAAAACAGAGCCAAGAGCAGACCTGACATCCCTGTACTGAACATCTTTGATGAAGGAGACAGAGACCATGAGAACTGGCAGAACCAGGAGACTATCTAGTGGACTTTAGGACCCATGGAGCATTAGAAAATGCTGGAACCGGGTGCCTGTAGGTGTTTAATCAGCAGAGCCAATGGAGCTTTGTAACACTTGTGCGATCAGGGCTGGGGTCAAAGGGCAACAGAGAGAGGTATGCCTGTTGTCATAGCTGAGAAGAGGCTGTCCTGAATGACAAACTGTAGCATGAGTCATTTCTGATCCTGAATTATAACCTGTAACTTCTCTAATAAACCCCATAACCATATTGTTTGAGAGTTGTGTATGGCCATTGCAAAGAATTATTGAACCTGGAAGCTCAAAGTAGAGAATACCATTGGAAGGGACAGTTACTGTCAGAATTGGTAAAAAGGGTAGAAGCATATTTGACCTTTGTTTTGTTAAGAATTGGCCTTCAGCTGTTGATTTTGATTCTCCTTCCCTCTTGTGAAGTTAGGAGGTCAGATCCCTTACCCAAGCTATTTTACACAGCTCCATACTTTACACAGACTATAGTGTGCCTATAGTCTCTCATACAGCAGCTGATTTTTACCCTGCTCTTTATTCCCTGGTGTAGTATCTGATAGTGGCACCCAGAATAGCTGGAGGACCAACTTTGATGACTAACTACCTCCTTCACCATACATGTTGTGCTTTTCAGGGACTCCCTGAAACACCCCAGAGCACCTCCCTGGCCCCACACCAAGTCTCTGGACTTGGGGAAGTGGGAAGTGCTGTGGATTTGAGCTCTGAAGGATGGCTGACTTTGACCAACTCATGCTAACCTAGCTCCTTTGGGTCTGTGTTGCAGGAATTATGTACCGCAAGTCATGTGCATCGTCGGCAGCATGCCTCATCGCCTCAGCAGGGTACCAGTCCTTCTGTTCCCCAGGGAAACTGAACTCAGTGTGCATCAGCTGCTGCAACACCCCGCTCTGCAATGGTCCTCGGCCCAAGAAAAGGGGCAGTTCTGCCACGGTCCTGAGGCCGGAGCTCCCCACCACTGTCCTGCTCCTCAAACTAGCCCATCTCTTGGTATACTGCTGAAGGAGACCCCCAACCACTCCTGCGCTGTTCTCCTGGCCCTCATGTGCCCCCATGTCCTTTAGGTGTCCCTGTATTCTGGGTAGGGAGGGGAGTCTGTCCTCTTTCTTTTTTGTTCCTTTGAGAATAATGAAAGAGCTCAGTGTCAAACAGTTTTGTAAGATCTGAATAAATTCGGTCTGACGGTATTCAGTGTGTACTTGTAGGCAGGAAGTGAGTGGAGTGGAAATCCACCTTAGTTGGTATAATCAGAGTCAAGGCCAGTTGGCTGGAATCCCCCTTCAGAAGACATGAAGGTTGGCAGAGTCCCCCTGCTTCCATTCCCATCCCTGATGGGTTCATTTTGCCACCGCTGCCTGGGGGAGAAGGGGCTCTTGAGCATTTTACTCAACAACCTCCTGAAGACCATTCTCTGCAGCAGAACTGACTTCGGCAACAGCCTCCGCTGGTTTCATCTCTGTGTTGGGCTCTAGTGAATCGAGACTCAGTTGTGGGGGTTTATAGTCGGCCTTGGGCTCACTCTGAAAAGTACTTAAGAAAACCTTATTAGATTTTCTCGCGGACGAGTAGCGCCAGGAAGACTTAAAGAGCTGGCGGGTGGAGCGGGCGCTGGCGGTGGGTGTGCGCAGCCGCTTCTCGTGGTTGACGTGTAGCAGCTTCAGACGACAGCATAGCACCTGCCAGAACACGCTGCGGAACTGCTGCGAGGACACGTTGTAGAGCAGCGGGTTGACCACGGAGCTGAGGTAGAAGAAGGTGTCTGAGAAGGGGAGCAGGATCATGTACGACCGGAAGTAGGTCTTGGTCCAGTCATGCTTAGGTTTGGCTGCAGCCAGGATCCTACGAATCTGGTTTGGCATCCAACACACAGCTAATGTCACCACGATCAGCCCTGAGCAGGCAAAAGAGGGAGAGAAAGAGGAAACAACATGAGACCCAAGTAAAAGGGAAAAAGAAACCATCTAATATATAGTCCCTCAGTTCTGAGCTCACTGGCCAGGCAATGCTACCAATTTCTCAACGTTGTGCTTGACAGCTTCTTTTGCCCTAGCAAAAAAAAAAAGAACTGAACATTCTTTCAAGGCCGGGGCATTGACTGTGTTAAAGACCATTAAATGCTTTTGACAGTTTATTTATACCTGTTGATGCCTGTTAATTTCAAAATTGTTCTCATTGACGCTGTGTATGCAGGAAAATATTTTATGTGGTCTGTAAATCAGATTTTGTCATTTTTGTCCTAAAGAAATAGATATATACAGGATAGCCATATTAAAGAATATATTTTAAAGAAAGTCCACATAAAGAAGCCCCAACGCTGTGTTCAAGTCAAAGGGAAGTATTACTATTGCCTTTGGCGATCGCAAAGCATATTTAACCGCTTCCTTCAATTTCAGGGGAAGCAAGATCAGGACTAGCCTATCACAGAGAATGCTTAGTGGACACATGTGTGCTGGGAGGGCACGGAGTTAAAACATGTGTCATCTGTAATGTTACCTCTGGTTCCCAGGCTTTTAGATACATCTATTCCTGGTAGCGGAGTGGTTACGAATCCGGCTGCTAACCTCAAGGTTAGCAATTCAAAACTAACAGCTGTTCCATGGGAGAAAGATGAGGCTTTCTGTTCCCGTAAAGATTTACAACTTCAGAAACCCTGTACAAGGTCACTATGAGTCAGAACTGACTCCATGGTACTTAACAACAACAATTCCCCTCTCCGGATGAAGGACATGACAATTATCCAAGAGTAACAGAAAATAGAAAACTTCCTTCAACTTCTTCGTAGGTTTCAGTTTGGAATGTGCTTATTGTCTTCGAAACAAGGGAGCCCTTCCACAAGATGGACTGAGATAGTGGCTGCTGCAATGGACTCAAACATACAGCAGTTGTGAGGACTGAGACTCTACAGTAAAGCCTGGGAAAGGTAGAACCTGTGTAAGGTAGGAAACTGTCAGAGAAGGAAAATCCAAATGTATTTTACTCAAATGACAGAAAAGTAACACCCAGTCAACAGCAGAAAAGTTGTGAGCCTCCTCCCCCCCCAAAAATCAAGGAAGTCCCCACGAGAGTCAGCTCTCACAGATTTTACTGTATATCTAAGGTCACCGTGAGTCAGAGGCAGAGCCAAATCAACAGTAGCTAACAACAAAAAGGAGAGAGACCCCTCTATGTTCTTCCTACATGCATCAAAAGTACACTGCATGTACATTTGTATGCATTTATTCACTATTTCTAAGAACCCGACTGCAAAGCCATTTGAACTGCAAGGTCGGCAGTTCAAGCTTACCAGCTGCTCCTCGGAAACCCTATACAGGGTTGCTATGGGTCAGAACCGACTCAATGGCAATTCACAACAGGGAGAAAGATGTTTTGTAAGCTACATCAACAAGTGATTGATTCCACAGGTGCCATAACGTTTATTTACAATAGCTAGGAGGAGAAGATGAGCGATCTGTTGAGTGGCACTGTGGATTAGGTGTTGGGCTACTAATTGCAAGGTCAGTGGTTCAAACCCATTAGCAGCTCTGTAAGAGAAAGACGAGGCTGTCTGCTCCTATAAAGATTTACAGTCTCGGAAATGCTAGATAGGGTGGCTCTGAGTCAGAGTTGACTCGGTGGCAGTGGGTGGGCTGGGGAGTCAAGATGTCTAAGTGTAAGTTTCCATTTGGAGGCCTGATATCTCAAAGCAGGGCTTTGGATTTTTACATAAGGTTCTTCATTACCCTAAACAAATAATAGAACATAAGGAAAATTCATTCACATTTTCAAACCTGATTTTCTGGGAAGTCACAGGGAAGCGATAGTTAGAAACGATCACTTCCTGCGTCTAATCCATGGTAAATAGCTCTGGTAGCGTAGTGGTTACGAATCGGGCTGCGAACCTTAAGGTCAGCGGTTCGAAACTACCAGCTGCTCCGCGGGAGAAAGATGAGGCTTTCTACTCCCGTAAAGATTTACACCCTCGGAAACCCTGTACAGGGTCGCTATGGGTCGGAACCGACTCGACGGCACTTAACAACAACAACAACAACAATCTGAAATACGTCAGGAAAAATAGCCTTGTTTAGGCATCCAGGGTTGACACAGCTGCACCATTCACCTGAGCTTCCCTGGCCTGGGGAGGAGGTGCCCTGGGTGTGTGTTCTGACACTGGAAAAGCCCAGCTTCCTCACGACAAATCCTCAACAAATCTCAGCTGCTAGCAAGAAGGCCCTCAGAAATGCTGCTCCTCTTACTGCGCTGTCAAACCTCAGCCCAAGCTTCAAGTTCAAACTAGTGTGCTCATTGCCTTACTTTACTTTACTACCCTGAGAATCTAAAAACAAAAAAGACAAAGAAATGTACTGATTTAATGAAAAGGCAAAAAATCGCTAAGTCAAGGATGTTCTGAATCACCTAGTTCCAGTTGCTAGATGGAGACAAAATTCAACATTTTCTGATTTTTTGTTTTGTTTTGTTCTTTTGCACTGCTTTAAGCAGTGTTGGCGCTTCCAGGTACCTGTGCTATTCCAAATTCATCCTTAAATTGTTGCTCCTATTTCCATCTCATGCAGCTCTGATTGAGTTGTTCATGTCATTAATTGTGAAGGTGTTAGGATGTGTACCATACTGAAGGAAACTACCCATCTTCACAAAGTTTTAGTCCCGCCCCTCCTTTCCTGTCAGTGAATTTCAGAGAATAAAGACAGCCACCTTCATGTGATCATTTGTGTCTTGGATTATGCAAATACAGCACAGGGTTTTTGATGTGGGCTATGATATACTAAAAGTCCTGGTGTGGCACTGAGGCTTAATACACTGGTCCAAAAGGTTGGCAGTTCAAACCTATAAGCCGCTTCTCAGAAACCCTATACAGGTTCAGTATGAGTAGCAACCGATTCAGCGACACTTAACAACAACAACATGATACAATATATGAGGCTATACTTCAGACAATGGAAACCTAGAGAGATGATGAGAACCAGCTTGTATTTACCACAGGCTGAACACAGCACAGACTTGAAAGCCCGAGGAGGCAAGGCAGTAAAAGAAGCCTGGGTTGTGGGACAAGGGCAGAGGATTGATAAAAGTTTTCTGTCCTGTGTTTGCTCCTAGTTCTCTTGATCTCTTTTTTGCCCAACCCTTGTCCCGGGGAGGTGCAAAGGTTTGCATTTAACTACTAACCTAAAGGTTGGTTGTTCAAGTCCAGCTAGTAATCTGCCTCTATAAAGATTACTGCTATATGTATATT